CGGATATATCAAATGAAAGAGAGCCATGTCCGCGTCGATGAATTTCTACAATGCGCAATGAAAACTATAAAGCTTAAGCGACTGCAAAATACAAGCGCGCAAGTAGCAATCGCCATTGCAATAGAACAAGGGCATGTTGAGGTCATTACTCATATATGTACACATATTGTGATCAAATATCACATGGTTTATTTATTAAAATAAATCTATACTAAGCATTTAACAGATGTGGGTTAGTTCAGTTGACTAGGCAATGTACATGCCTCCTTATACCTAAGTTTGTGTCCCTCCCCAAATATTAGAGTATTAGTTTAAAATAGCGTATTGTCAACAAAAAATTAAATTGATGAATACCTATTTATCATCATAACTTATCAGATACATCAATAAGAGCATAACCATGCCACATTTGCATACCACCTTGTGTACTACCTCTCTGCCTCTCTACCTCTCTAATAGGGATAGAACCCACCAATACAATGAGGCATAAAACAACTGACTATACTAGCGTGGGAACTTTGAGGCATGTGCTTTCCCAATTTGCATGTCTGTGGTCATATTTGTGGGGAGAAGTTAAATATTTTGTCAAAGAAGAAAAAGTTGTGTGTGTATATATATAGGCATGTACACCGTGATTTCACTGTTATGAATTCATTCTAACTTGGGTGCAAGGGGCGAGTTACCAAGTGGTATTACCCATATTTATATGTTGAATTTATATTTTAAAATAAATGATTGTACATGTATTAAAATTTGAATGAATTCATAACATTAAAATGACATTGTACATTACCATCATACACAAAATTTGTGATTAAAATATTCTCTAATGCAAACATATTTCGATTTGCAACAGGTATTGCAAGGACTTGTTCTATATTGCGAGGACTTGTTCCAAATCCCCGTAACCTCTTTGGTACGTAATGTTAAATATCCACATTTTGTTAATCTTTTCCTTCGATTTTCAGTATGTATAATTATCCATTCTCTTAAATCTTATTTTGGTCGTTTTCTTTTGAGACTTGGTAATTAATATTGTTTTATTTATGCCATCCTAGGAATTAATCACATATATAAGATGAAATGGACCCATGAAAGAATTTCTGAAATTCTAATGTGCGAAGCGATAAAGGGTAAAAGTGGTAAACAACTGCAAGGAAGTGTCGTGCAAGCAGCAATCTTCGAAGCCATTAAACAAGGGCATGTTGAGTTTGTTCATGAGATATTTCGATCAAATCCAGCAGTGGGCGGGCTGCTCACTGATGAAAATGGGAAGACCATGCTTCAGTTTGCCATTGAATGTCGTCAAGAAAAAGTCTATTTATTTTTCTATAAATTTACCGGAATAGCGCCTAATTTGTTAGTGAGAATAGATCAGTTTAGCAATACGTTGCTACATGCAGCAGCGGGTTTATCCCCAATTGAACAGCTTAATCATATCCAAGGTGCCGCATTGCAAATGCAGAGAGAATTACAATGGTTCAAGGTCAGAATTTCTTTACACATTTCGAGGATTAGAAAATATTCTTTTCCTTTTTTTCGGTCGAAAAGCATATATTCGAGGATTAGAAAAGCAGTAATTGCTTCAACGAAATGCAGGAGATTGAAAAAATTGTACCTCCCAAGATTCTTGAGGTTGTAAATGTTACAGATGGCATGACAGCACGTGATTTGTTTACTAAGAACCACAAAGAGTTGGCGAAAGAAGGAGAAAGATCAATGAAAGAGACAGCAACTTCTTGTACGGTTGTAGGTGCGCTTATCATTACCATCATGTTTACTGCAGCATTCACAGTTCCAGGTGGAAACAACGGAAATACAGGCATGCCCTTCTTCTTAGATGAAAAGTTGTTTAAGGTCTTTATAGTTTCTGATGCCCTATCACTCTTTTCTTCCACGACTTCTGTAATGACATTTTTGGGAGTCCTCACCTCACGCTATGCCGAAGCTGATTTCCTTGAATCATTGCCAAAGAAAATGATTATAGGCCTTTTCACCCTCTTTTTCTCCATAGCCACCATGATGATTGCGTTTGTTTCTACCCTTTGTATTATGTTGGGTGAGAAGTCATGGATCGTGATTCCAATCACTTTACTTTCTAGTGCTCCAATCGTCTCCTTTGCATGGATGCAATTTCCCCTTCTTGTTGAGATCTTCATTTCTACTTATGGAGCAGGAATATTTGCCGAAAAAGGCAGACTTTGGGAAGCATCAGAACGTTTTTTGGGATGAATCGATCTGTCTGATTCGTAAGGGAAGAACTTGTATCAATATCTCAATTTCAATTCAAATATGGATTATTCACATTTGGATTTTTATGTCATTTTTGCTGATATTTGTTTCTATCAATTTTAAGAAAGTTTTAAGGACTTGTTCAAAGAAATAAGGGGTTCTTAGATCTAGGTCCAAAACGATTAGCTGTAATTGGGTCTAGTCCTCGTGTTTTTGGTTTTAGATGTAGGTCCTTTGACATTTATTACTTTTTTGTTGTGTCGATTTTACCCTTTAAGGTAAATAAGGAAAACACATTGAAAATCTAAATTTAATGCATTATTTCCTTGAAATTGAATTCCAAATTTTGAATTTTGAATTTTTTTTCCTTGATAATATTCCTAATATATAGATAAAATACAATTTAATCAATAAAAAATAAAGACTCACATATTATACCAATCGATTAGACAATCACTCACATTAAATTATGAACATGACATACAGGTAAATAATGTTAATACATACAGGTATATATGTACCTGCCTTACAGGCAAGTGTTTTTTTCTTGAGTTTTCTTAAGCAGTTTTTTCTGGAGGTTCATATTGATATACATACGTACATGTCTTCCATGTAATAGTGTTTTTTTTTCCCAAAGAAATTTTGTATGGATTTTTATCTCAGTTGAGCTTAAAGATCTATACCAAGATATTATATGAGTTCAATTAGCTGCGCTAGAGGGTATAACTACCTAGACTAGAGGTAATTTATGTATTTAATTACCTGGACCAAAGGTAATTTATGGGTTTAATTACCTGCATACTGCATACGAAGTGTATGCATAAGTACCTTACCTATTGTTAAGGTATGAAGTTTTTATGAACTCTTCTTACAAGTTTTGATGTCGGTATACCTTGGAAAAATTTCAGAATTCAATAAATAAATTTTCAATTAAATTCAAATCAAATATGATAATTAATATCCTACAAATCAACAACTTACCAGTTTTAGGAATTCATAATTTACATTATTTATGTTTTAGGTGCATAACTGGAACAAAAAATAAAAAATAAAAAATATAAAAAAGTAAATATTAATAAATTGAAATAGGCATGTAATCTTATGTGGCGCAAAAGTCAAAGGACTTGGATCAACAACAATTTCTGCGTGGATTGCACCCAAAATCTCTCCTCATAATTGGACTTATGCCAAATTTTCTAAAGAAATAAATTATGTACGTGTTCCGGTTTCCATAATAAAACCCAACTTGAATGTTTGTATCTTCTTTTATTTTTTATTTTTTTTATAGCTTGTTTGTATCTTCTTTCGGCCTGAACTTCAATTTTTGTTAATGCGATGCCCAAACGTTGATACAGGGTTTAGTTTCCTTCGTTCCAAATTCTACTATTATTTCGTGCCCCTTTTATTGTTATTAATTCTGCCTAATTAATGGAACCCAACAATCCTATTTTTTTGAACTGACACATTCTTTACACCCACATACAATTTTAGTAAAATTAAAATGCTTTCTCTACAACAATCACTTCTTCATAAATTACCCTCACTAATCTAAACTCATCACACATCACATAAGATGCATAGATTCATAATGAGAGCCTCGCACAATCTTGTAAACTAAGTTCTGAAATGGTGGAGCCAAGATATATATTGCGTCAGTCAATTCTTATTAACAAGGAAACTGGAGGGCAGATTGAATGAGGAGCTTTGGAGATGGTGAACGAGGTTGACAATTGTTTCAATCCTCCTTTTGTGTTTCAATTATCTTGTGTGTGTGTTTTTTTTATGTTGTGTGTTTACTTTTGGAATAAAATTAAATTTATGGAATTTCAATTTTTTTTAGGTCAAATTGTTCAAAAAATTAAATTATGATGTTATTTAAAAAGATTAATGAAGAAAAGTTTTCCGTAAAAAAAGATTAGACTTAAACCATTCTTAAACAATTTAATAAAGTTGCGGACTTAAAATTTGAGTCTGGAGGGTTGGGAGAAAAAACAATTTGATTACGGAGAAAACCCAAATAATCACTTTTTGGAGGGGGAAAATTTGGGTTTAGCCCCTCATAGGTTGGAGAAGGCCTAAGTGGACTGGTATTTGGGTCCAAATTTGGGTTTTTCCAAATTTTGGGTCCTTCATTTTCTTGGGTTGAGAGATATTTTGAGCAATAATTTGGGATATTTTGAGTTTAGGTCCTTGGGTTGAAGATAGCCTAAGGAGGAAATCAAAGGCACCGAAAGCATGTGCAGCTCCATTTCTCTCCTCCTTTTCGGCCGCACATCTTGACTCCACTAAGGAGGGATTTCCAACACATACAAGCTGTACATTTGGCTGTAAATGAAACAAGATGATTCACACTTGTATTTCAATTGAATTTGAGCAACATGCGCAACATTTTTATATTTCTGTTCTGTTTGACACTAAAAAAAAATTATTTTTATACAACGTGCCAACAATAATCTTTAATTGCCAAGTCTTTTTCCAAGTCTTTTTTAATTGCCAAGTCTTTTGCCAAAGTCTTTATTCATTGGTGATTTGTTAGCTTGTTTTTGGTCTTCGCTGATTTGTTATCTATAAATCAGAAGTGAGTTTGCCTATATCTATGTGCCCATAGTGGGAATTTACAAGCTAGTTTCTAGCTGCAGCCTTTTTATTTTGGAAGACTGCCCCAACTCAATCTGTGAGTGTGTGTTTAATTTTCTTTTTCTTGTTTGTTTTAACATATACGCTCTCGATTCACATAATACCACCATGGGTCAATTGGCAGATTGAACATGGCAGCTACAACTGTCACTAGTGCAATTCCTAATCCCCCAGTTCTTAACCAGAATAACTATGAAGATTGGAGTTTCCGGGTTAAACTCTACTTGTTAGCTGAAGATCTTTGGGACGTTGTGGAAGCCACCACTGAACCTCCTAAACCAGAAGATGGTGAAGCTGAGTTTAAGGCTTGGAGGAAGAAAGATGCCAAGGCTTTAATTCTAATCCAGAATAATTGCGGGTCTGCTAATTACTCTTTAATCTTTGGCACTAAGACCGCCAAAGCTGCCTGGGATACTTTGGCCGAAAAGCTAGAGCCAGCTGAAGGTACGTAGTCAAAACAAGCATGCATGTTTTACACCTAAATGACTCTGACAGAATGGTGGGCACATCACGAAGCACGGCATCTGTATATATGTATGGTTCGATCTAGGTTACTGTATTTTCATTTTTTATTTTTATGATGGTACAGCTGCAGTAGTAAACATTATTTGACTGTGCACAAGGCTGAGTAAAACTATAGTGCATTTTCTTCCTTCACAATAGGTAGAATTTTCATATTGTGGGTGCTTTACGCATTTGTAATTGAATTTTTAAGTGTTTACTTGTATGTGTATGATTGCTAACAAATTTTTTCATTGAGTGTAGGACATATGTGGCATAAATATCTCGCAAATGTATAAAATGTTTTTTTTTTTAATAATTGAAATGGTCCCTAAATTTATGCTCGATTTCCATTTTGATCATCTAACTAAATTTTCAATCCATTGGTCCTCCAACTCTCTCTTTTGTGTTAAATTGGTCCCTCCATCAAATTTGTTGTCAAATTAGGGGTAAATTTGTCCATTTGTGCTCTAATCTCCTCTAAAACGACCATTCCATCTTTGTAACGAATATTTCCCTCCATAAGACGTTTCTCTTCTAGGATAGAGTTTCAATTTGGGGGAGAGAGTAATGGCTTATGGAGGGAAATGTTTGTTACAAAGTTGGGTTGGTTGATTGAGGAGATTAGTGCCCAAATTGATAGTTTTACCGCTCAATTTGATGGTAATTTGATAAAACTTGATTGGTGGGACCAATTTGACACTAAAGAAAAGTTGAAGGACCAATAGAGTGAAAAATTTAATCGAATGACTAAAATAGAACTCATGCATAAGTTCAAGGACCATTTCGGTCAAAACCCAAGTATAAAATTATCGTTATATTTCCTTCATCAATTTATACCTAGAGGGGGCAAAATGGAAATAAAAGCATTTGGACCTTAATAAAAAACTCAATGGACTCGAACCAATATAGAAAAAGAAATGTACTAAGGTAGCATTTGGCCCCGCTTAAATTTTAAAAAAAGTGGCTTTAATAAAAATTTGGCATGAGTTGGGTGTTTGGTAAACCCAAAAATACACGCTTATTTTAAAAACACCCATCATAAAAAGCAAAAACTCAAAGTCGCCAATACCCAGCTTTCAAAAGCTGCTTGAAAAAAGAGCCGGTTTTTTTATTAATGAAAGTTTCATTATTCCTATAATGCCCCTAAACATTTTACGAAAGGACAACGTTTGTCCCTCTCACAAAATAGATCTCGCGACCTTCACTCTCTCTGAGACCTTCACTCTCTGCTCTTCTCACTTTTCTTCTTCTTCCTCCCCTATCTCAAAATTCCAGTCTCTATCAAGGAAGAATTCATACTCAAGCGAAGTCAAAGCGTGGAGAAGTAAACACCTAACACCAAACAACCAAGTTGTGGGCTTCTGTTGAAGATTGTGCCCAGAAAATTACTTGCCCTTTGCATCATATCACATCTGTGATATCTTCACAAGTATAAAATCTCACTGCTTTGCGTATAAAAACAGACCACTCACATACATAGAGCAAAGGACCATGAACTCAAACCTCTCTTGATCTGGGTTTGGATTGAGTTTTGGGTTCTAAAATTCTTGATCTGGGTTGTTTTTTAATCGGTGTTTTGAGGCGATGGAGAAGAGAAGAGGAGAGAGAGAGAGAGAGAGAGAGAGAGATGGGGTGGGTACGGTGATGGGTTTGTTTGTTTTTAATTTTAATTTTGTATATATATTTTTATATTTTATTCATATAACAGTATATATATATATATATATAACAATATTTTTTAGATTAAATTTTTTGATAAAAAAGTGTAAATTAAAAAAAGAAAAAAAATTATGTAGTGAAGTTGGGTTTCTTTAAAAAAAAATAGAAAAAGAATAAAGGAAAAAACAAACAGATTTATCATCATGCCTTTTTCGGTCATTATACACACTAAAAGCGCTTCTGATAAAAATTTACCAAACACTTTGACTACTCACAGCAGTTTTTCAAAACCAATTTACCAAACGCCTAGCTGCTTTTTTTCACAGCTGATTATTTTCGCAGCACAGCAGAAGCAGTTTTTTTTAAAAGCACAGCAATGCCAAACTAGCCCTAAATCCAATACCACCTTAAGCTTTTGAGTTGGGACCCAGATGCCAATTGTGTCTATAGAATTACTCATTTTGACTTAATTAATTGATATATTTTCTTATCATGCGTGCGATGCAGAGGAGTTGGTGCTGTTGGTGCCACAGGTAGACTTGAATATCAATCCGACTTCGAATGATGGTATGTAATCTCTTATCTAATCTTTAACTTATCCACTGACTGACAAGAATTTTGAAGAATTTTGTTTGAGTGAGTTGGACGCTGACATTCTTAACAAATAGTAATTTATAGTAAAACAATAAAAACTTGGCAGGAAATGAGAGTAACACCAGCGACTTCAATGAGTTCGCCCTCCATCAACCCTTCATTGATAATGTGGTAGAGGGTGATTGGGATTTAGCGAAGGAGTATCTTAGTCGAAATCCCGAAGCAATCAGAGAAAGAGGTTCAATATCAGGTGCAACAGCTCTTCACCTGGCAGTTTCGGGTGGATATGTAAATATGGCGAAAGCGTTAGTGGAGTTGATGACGGAGGAAGACTTGGAAATACAGGATGCTAATGGTCTAACAGCTATGGCCCACGCTGCGACTAAAGGAATCACACAATTGGCTAAGTGCATCACTGAAAAAAACAAGAAACTGCTTACCCTTCCATATCCTCCGCAGAACTTTATTCCACTTATGACGGCTTATTGTATCGGCCATTGGGAATTGGCTCGCTACCTCTATTCTGTTACTCCACCCGAAGCTCTGTTGCAAGACAACGGCTGCGATGGCGCTGAGATTGTTTCGGAAAGTTTTAGGGCCAAAAAATTCGGTACGTGTTTCCAATTTAACCTTTTGCCATAAAATAAGATTTAGATTTATTCATTTTTCTTGTCACTCCTCTTCCTCTACCCTACTGTAGATATTGCATTGGATTTACTTCGGCGTTGCCCAAACTTAGCCCTTGCTGAAGACTACTCTGGGTTGACCCCTTTACAAATGTGCGCTAGTACACGTTCTGGATTTTTAAGTGGAATGCATCTCAAATTCTGGCAACAATGGATTTATGACCGTTAGTACTATATTCTTTCTGCTCTTTATTTAAAGTTATGTGTAAGACCCGTGTCTTGGGGAAACAAGAATGGTGAGTAATCCCACACCGCTTGGGGAGGGAAAGGTGAAGTGCTTTAAATGTGTGGGCATTTATCTTCCTAGCACGAGGCCTTTTGGGAGTTCACTGGCTTCGGAGTCGTGGGAACTCCGAAGTTAAGCGAGTTGGGGGCCAGAGCAATCCCAGGATGGGTGATCCACTGAGAAGTGGAATGTGAGCTCCCAGAAACAAAACCGTGAGGGCAGAGAGGGGGGCCCAAAGCGAACAATATCGTGCTAGGGGAGTCGGGTCGTGACATTATGTCCCATAATTTTTTTTTTTGAGACTTCATATCGGTACATCCTATTTCTATTAAAGAGATAGTACATAATATTGTAAAATAATATGTTCTCCTAACATCACATACCTATTAGAGATATTTAGTCATATACCCATTCTTAGCACTAATAATATAGATAAACTCTACACCATTTAATTTCTATAACCAAACTATTAAAAAACCCAAAAATTGACAACTTACCTTATTGAATTTAATTTTGATTATTAAATTACTTTGATGCCCTATTAAGTGTTTTGGGCTTTTTTAATGAGGTTTTGGGGTGGGGTTTGTTTTAAGAAATCAATGGCAGTTTTGTAATTTAAAAGAAATTAAAAGCTTTTTTGTTATATTATAAATGGGTTTTGCGTGTGTTTCTAAAGTCCATTTCATATATATTTTTTTTTAAATAATTTGGGCTCCTATATCTCTATATATAAAGCAAAAAGTAGAGAATGATGAAACATTCAAAATACCAGAAAATGTCATTGGTTAATGCAAACATTAAGAATTGAAATTATTAATTAAATGAGGATAATATGGTAAATTCACACTTTTCATATTAAAAAAAATTAAAATTAAAAGAAAAATAGGATAATGGATCCTATTTTTATGGAACACAACTACCCATTATCTTTTTTAATTCTAAAATAAATTTTTAAATTTTTTAAAAGAGCCTCTCATAGGTACGGAAGCGCTTGCGCAAAGGCTAGTTGGGTATAATAGTGAATCTCCCTATTTATTATTATTGTGTATTAAAGAGGTATGGTAAAAATAATGTGTTCTTATACCGTCACTCATTCATTATTGTTGTATATGCACATGAACTTCCATGTTCACGACACAAAAATCACTATATAGGGGAAAGCTCATACATCAAAAGGAAACATTTAACGTATGATTAGTCATTTGTTCTTGTGTTGATAACTTGATAGGTATACATGTACGACCTGGTTCAGCAGTTTATGATATTCGCATAAATGTTGAAAACGTCGAAGATGACCCAATTAGTGAAAGGGATCTCATAGTTTGCTCAGGTATGATATATCCGAAAAGTAGCATTATGGTTTTTGCTAGTAAATATTGAAATGAATGTGATTGCGTGACAGAATTACATGATTGTGTGTGTAACAAAAATTTCTCCTTAAAATGGCTCCATAGAGTAGGACTTTACACAGATCGGCAGAGAGTTCAACCGATCACCGTACCAAACTTTCAGTAGGTTAAAATCTTTTGTTAACCGATACTTTTGGACACAGAGCTATTTTTGGAGGTATACTGAACTTGTAGTCGGTTTGGTTTGGTACAAAACTTTTACTGGTCTTTTTTATTTTAATTTCTAGGTTGAATAAGGCCAGTTTTGATTGTTTTGAAGACCAACATTGAGGTTAAAACTTAACATTGTGATCAAAGTATCACATGGTTTATTTATTAAAATAAACCTACTAAGCACTTAATATATGTGGATTAGTTCAGTTGATTAGGCAATGTACCTGCCTCCTTATATCTAAGTTTGTGTCCCTCCCCGAACATTAGAGTAGTTTAAAATAGCATATTGTCAACAAAAAATTAAGTTGATGAATACCTATTTATCATCATAACCTATCAGACACATCAATAAGAACATAGCAATGTTAGGCATGCTAGCTATATTTGCATACAACCTCATGTACTACCTCTCTAACAGAGGTGGAGACCACCAACGCAATGGGGCCCACTAATAGATGTGGTACACAAAATAATATATAAATGTGGTATGAATAGTACTTTTTATAAGAAGAAGAGAGAGGGAATTATAAGGGTGTGGGATAACATGTTTTGACGTGGCCCACTAACTGCTCCTCACATATGTGTAAAATTTAATAATATGAGCACAAAATTTGTGATTAGAATATTCTCTAATGCAAATATATTTTGATTTGCAATAGGTATGGGTATATTGCGAGGACTTGTTCCAAATCCCCGTAACCTTTTTGGTACGTATGTTAAATATCCACACTTTGTTAATCTTTTCCTTCAATTTTCAGTACGTATAATTCTATTCTCTTAAATCTTATTTTGGTCGTATTCTTTTGAGACTTAGTAATTAATATTGTTTTATTTATGCCATCCTAGGAATTAATCACATACATAAGATGAAATGGACCCACGAAAGAACATCTGAAATTCTACATTCCATGTGCGAAGTGGTAAAGGGTATGAGTCTTAAACAAATGCAAGGGAGTGTCGTGCAAGCAGCAATCTTCGAAGCTATTAAACAAGGGCATGTTGAGTTTGTTTGTGAGATATTTCGAGCAAATCCTGTAATGACTGGGCTCACTGGTGAAAATGGGAAGAACATGCTTCAGTTTGCCATTGAATGTCGTCAAGAAGAAGTCTATTTCTTTTTCTATAAATTGACCGGAATGGCGCCTAATATGGTAATGGCCAATGGGAATAGATCAGTTCAATGTAAAACTATACTAGGTCTTTATAACTTAACACTAACCTTGTTCAGACATCTTGATTTCTGAAGGGATCGGCTTAGCTTCTGAGAGGATCTTCTTCTCTATGCAACACCGTAGGCTATTTCTCTAGATGGGGTGAGAGCTGAATTGAGCGTATCTTGTTGCTAGAGAAGGGACCTCTTTATATAGATGCATTACTCGAAAGCCTTGCCCATCAAGGAGCTGTCGAGTAATCTGTTTGCATTAGGAGTGGTTTGTTCAATCCATATAGGATTAGGAATTCTATTACTCTTGTATTTCAATTAGAATAGCTTCTGTACAAGAGTAATCTGATAAGTCTGAGTCTATCTCCTAATCATGCCAACCTCTCGAGTCCTCATTAGATTAGAAGACCACAATTCGTGGTTAAGACAAAAGATTGTCTTACA